AAAAAAAAAAAAAAAAAAAAAATGCAGAAGGGAGCGTAGAAAGATAAAGTTGGGGGAAGATGGAGAAAGAAGAGCCAGATCACAGAAAGGAGGAGGAGTCAATGGCGATGCCATTGAAGTCACAGAGAGAGAGAGAGAGGAAGCTCATGACCAAGAAGGAGAGGCGAGAGGAAGACATCTGAGTCCTGCTCCTAAGGTTACTGGAGTTCCTGGTGATCTGAAGAACCATTTTAGTGGAAAATAGACAAGCCAGGCGGCAAATGGGTCTAAGAGTGAATGGATATGGGTACCAATGATGGAGAAGCAGGATTAAGGATGGGTACCCCAGTAAATGATTTTGACCCATGGCTGCCAGGTTTAGGGAGAGCCCCAAATCTAGGCCAGGTGGATGGGGTCACCACAGTGCTTCCTGCTGCTCTGCCGGCACGTGGGCTTGTCTCTTCATTTCACAAGGCCCACATCTGGGACGAGCTGCATGGAGTCAGAGAACCCCTGGTGCTGACAGTACGTTCATTTGATCAGAGCTGGGTCTCTGGCGTCAGCACTGCATAGGGCAAATGCAGTCGAGGACATGAAAACAAAAAGGAAACGAAAACTTCCTGCTCTCCTTTGCTCAAACCTTGCCCCACCAAAGTAGATCAGTGACCAGAAGGAAGTGCCACAAGCACATCCATTGGGCGAATCATGTTTAAATCTAGTGCTGAACACCCAGGCTGCAGAGGTTCAGAAAGGACCCACTCTCTGGGAAGCTGTTTGGGATTAAGGGGCCATTTGTACTAAGTGTTTTTTCCTCTCTCCAGGGAGCTCCAGCGGCAACTCTTCCCCTGAGTACCCTCGGAAGGAATTTGGTATGTCCTATCCTTATTTTCTGAAGAAATGGTCAAACATGCCTGGCGGGGATGGAGGGGGAGCATCATGAGTTAAATGGACTCTTCTAGAGGAGTTTGACCTCTGCTGACCTCTCTTCCCTGCTCTTTATCCTGAAGCATCTTAAGGGGACTGTCAGCCACATTAGTTTGCCGTCATAAGTCTTTGCTCGTGAAATGGCAAGTTATTCACACAAGGCTCAGGCTTAGACAGATAAGCCCTCAGGCCAGGCAACAGTCATAGGATTTTTCCTTCCACAGGACCCACAGAGACCTCCCTGCAAAGGGGAGCAGGGCTTAGAATGCGCAGATGTCAAACATCCCAGCACCTCCTCCAAAGCAGTCTCAAAGGGACACATTTTAACCAAATGAAACCCTAGGCTGTATCTTCACATGACCTTAAATCTTTAGTCCACATTCTTGGGTTCTCACTGTACATATGAATTTATGATATGATCATTGATTATACAGTGATTATAATTTCACATATTTATTTGCATACAGTGGGAAAACGAAGACAGTCTCTAACAAAAGACCTGGAAAGGGAAAGACCTGGCAGTCTTTCGATACAGTTGATCAATGTGGTCCGCCAGTCCGAATGGATCATGCTCCCAAACAATTTCCTTAGTTAACACTAAGTGTGAGCCCACTTCACATTCGTTGGCTAACTTAACATCCTAAACGCACTGAGGCTTACAAAACTTTCTCTGCCCTTTGGCTATGTGGGCATGATTTATTAAGCAGCCACCACCATACATTAAGGCTTCTATCTGGATATAAATGCACTATGAAAACAACCTCCGCCTCCCACCCAAATAGGTCTTCTTTCATGTCGCAAATATTCAGCATACGCCACCTCTTACATATGCCTAATATTACTTTCCTCTGTTTCTCAGCGTCTTCTCCAACCAGAGGACGGAGCCAAACACGAGGTGAGCTCTGTTGCTGGATTCAGTTCAGTTCATTCAACCAGTATTTTCTGAGCCGCTAACGTGTGTCCAGCTGTGAGCCAGGAAATGTGAGGTGTAAAGAATGAATAGGTCATGACTTCTACCCTCAAGGAGCCTGCAGCATCTGGGCATCTTCCGCTGGCTCCATGAGGGTGGGAAGGGTAGATTTTGACAGCGACCTAGCAAGTACATGGAATGGTTTGCACTGCTGTGGATTGTCTGAAGGTGCTGGCGTCACATCTGGTTTCGCACCTAGTCTCCTGGGTGACTTTAACAAGATGTGCTGTAATTGCCTTTGTGCAGCAAAAAATGAGCACAAGCCCTTCTTTTTCATTGTTCCAGGGGACAAAGGGCTCCCTGAGAGTTTTGCACTCTCCACAACTGCCTGTAGATAAGGCCCTAGGAGGGAATGTGTCCTGGAGAAACCTGGCCTTGATATATCCGGTGAGGGTGGCAAGGAGCATGTGAGGGCTATATTGAAGGCAGAATTCTTCACAGGCCCCGGGAGTTCTCAGTGACCAGTCTAAACTTCCCAGGGGCCTGGTTGTATTCGTAACTGGAAAGTTAGGCACATACCGACCACCTACAACTTTAGGCTGATAGTCCGAGAGACCCATACACCACCTGAAGCTAAAAATGTTAAATCACCCACTTTCTGCCCTAAAGAGGCCAGAATGGCTAAGCAAACACTACAGGCTTTAGAATTGTCTTGCTATTGCTTGAGAAACCCTGGAGGCAGGAAAGCAGCTTGGTTCTGGCAATGCAGAGTGGGCCCTGTGAAAGGGGCTGGTCGTTGCCAATTGTGATGGAGTCTCGGGGCTCAGCCTGGTGTTTCTGCTCCAGGCGCCTGGGAGGTTAGCTGTGGGCAGGCTGGGGGGTGGAGAGAATACGCCTCTTTCTAAGCACTCTTTCTGGGCGCACCTAGCTGTTCTGTTCCCAGGACACACAGATTGCAGAGCAGCTCAAAGATAATCTGCGGCTCAGAGCTCAGTGTCAGGCACTGCAAGCCAGGCTCCTTCATTCACAGCTTCTCCATCTCTCCCCTGTACAGAGAGCGAGATCCGAGTTCGACTGCAGAGTGCATCCCCATCTACCCGATGTAAGTGCTCAGGTCTTGGGAAGGATCCAGGAATCCAGGGCTACTGCTGTGTGTGTGCGCACGTGCGCGCGCGCGTGTGTGCAGTCACTCCATCATAAGAGACATGTCTAAGGCCTTCTGTGACGGGGACTCCGGGCTGGGTGCAGGGGGTGAGGAGCTGCGAGTCAGTCATGGTCCCTGATGCTTCACAGTTCACAGACTAAGGGGAGACAATAAACCTACCAACCGTGACAGCTCAGGGAGCTGAGGGAGTGGGGGCCACAGGAGTCTCCCCGCGCTAGTCAGTCACTGGAAAGGAGACTGAAGGGTGGGTCAGCTAGACTCAGCGAGATGAGAGGGCAGAGACACGGGAGGAAGGTTCGGTGCAGCTGAAGGAAAAAGAGCAGGAGGGGACGCAGTGGGGCTGGTGAAGCTTAGAGAAGGCTCAGAAGCAGAGTGTGAGAGTTTGAACTTTATCTCAAATGTCAAGGATTTCCCGGTCTCTGTCCGTTGACTGTGTTGGACTCCTGTTGTTTGCCATTTTGAAATGAGCCCAAATGGGCGAGAGCCAAGTACAAAGACTAGGAGGAGAAAGATCTGGGTCGAGTGGCTCAGCAATCAGAGCCTGGGACTTGCCCAAAGAGCTCAGGGCCTGGGCTGGACTCCAGGCCTGATGCTGTCTCACCTGAGTCCTTCCAGGCTCGGGGTGCTGAGCACAGAGGATGGAGCTCTCGGGAGAGGGGCTGCCTGGGCAGTCCTCCAGCAACGTTGTCTGAAGGTGTCCTATGCGTTGCCCTTGTGCGACGCCTCCCTCCCCTCTGTTTGCCACCTCAGGAGGCATGGGGTACTCACTCCACTGTATCACCTCGCTACAGATTCTATCAGCCAGAGGGTCTTGCAATTAACCCACAGGAAAGCAGTGTAATATTTAAGAGTTATGGGCCACAAATGCCTTTTGACACTACAGAGCATACAAGGTCAGAGACCCAACACCTGAGGCATCCTGTACCCGGGATGAGACCACTGTTGGAGCACTTGTTTCAAGGGGTCTCTGGTGCTCCAACTGTCCTGGGTATAAATGTTCCAGGATGACAGTGTCTTCCAGCCACAGAACCTTCCCTGTGCTGTCTGATGAGGTCTAATTAAGAAATATGTACTGAGAACTTTGACCTCCTTGTAGAGGCACTGTATTTATGCGGCCACTAATATTACAAAACACCAGGTTAATCAGTGCTATAAATGGACAAAAGGCAAAAATTATAAGGCTAACCAAAAATGTCCCGGTGGGTGAGGTGGATGCTTCATCCTCCCTAGTATTCAGAGTGCTGCGAATGTTCCTCCCACTGCACTTGGACTCAGGAAGGAATCCTGGGCCTCATGAAAAAGTGGAGGATTCTTTTACAGGGACGGAATTGGATGACGTCAAGCGTTTGCTCAAGGGAAGCCGATCAGCAAGCGTGAGCCCCACCCGGAATTCCTCTAACACACTCCCCATCCCCAAGAAAGGCACTGTGGAGACCAAATTGGTGACAGCGAGCTCCCAGTCAGGTAAGCCCCACAGCCCCGATCTGCTGTGGAAGGAAGGGAACAAGGTGGCAGATGTGTCCGAGCAGGCCTTTCAGGCCGTGGCAGAGACTTCACAAAACCCTGAACATTGCTCTTCCTGCAGCGTGAAAATGTGGGCTGCACCCTTCTCACCCCTGTCTGGTCAACCATTCTATGTGCTGGCTATAGTCCGGCTCTAGATCCTAGAGATTCTCTCCCAGGACATTCTCGACATGTCCTGGGAATGTGTTGGCCAGGTTCCCTGAATGAAGACTATTGGGGAAAGTTGCAGTGCTCTCTATCATTCACTCATTCATCCAATGAACATTTATTATATGCCAAGCACCGGGCACTGAGGAAAGACAGTGAGCAGGATGGACACGGCCACTGCCCGTGTGGATGTGACGGCCTCTGGGGGGAGTCAAGCAGGATGAGTGTAGTTCAGCATTCATATATCACATGCCTACCAAGGGCAAGGTCCCTGGGGGAGATGAGGAAAGAAGCCAGTTCTGCTATGAGGTGAAGCTTTCCTCTCATTCACTACTGAAGAAAAACCGTCTTGAGACAGCGATCTTGTGTTTTTCAATGTAAAACCAAAACTTCAGGGTACTTTGTGACCTGAGTGGCTAACTCCCTCTCAGATAAGAAATAGGCAGAATTGACTTCAGGCTTGAAGTACCCATAGCCCCTCTTGGGGGCAGAGTGCCCCTTGGGTCTGGTTGGCACATGGGAATGTTTAAGGAGAGTTCAACCGGAGAAGGCTGCCACCCGTGCGGCGTGGCCTTGGGACCGAGGGCTTCCCTACCTGTGCTGCTGTCTGCCTGGAATTCTACTGTAAGGGAGTCACGGGTCCACGGCATCTTTGAAGGTGGAGTCAGCAACAGAAGGAGAGAGAGACCGTTGGTGGGGACAATGCACCAGGAGGTGGCAAAGGGGGCTTAGCAGGAGACACGGGTGGACCGCAGAGCAAAATTTACCTACCTCAGATTTCACCAAGAGCCAACAAGAATTTCTAACCCAAGAGGTCAGGTTTTCACCAGCTCTGAGATTTCAAACAGAAGTGATATGACCAACTGCCCCAGTTCACCTCAGACTGAGGGGGTTGCCAGGGCATGGGATGTTCAAGGCTAAAACCAGGAAAGTCCTGGCAAACCAAGCCCACTGGTTCCCCCCAGTACAGAGGGGTTTGTCTCTCACTGGGGTGTGGTCGGGCATGTCTGTTTCCAGTGTCCGGCACCTATGACACAACCATCCTGGATGCCAACCTTCCCTCCCACATGTGGTCCTCCACACTGCCGGCAGGGTCCTCCATGGGCACCTATCACAACAACGTCACAGCCCAGAGCTCATCCCTCCTCAACACCAATGCCTATTCTGCAGGATCAGGTATGTGGCTTGCAGTGCACATCCCCTCCCAGTCCTAAGCCCTCCACGCCTTATGATGGAGCTGAATGACCGCTCCGGCATTTGCCATCCCCAAGGCTTCTTAGAGGGGCTTTCTGTGGCCAAGCATCCCCAGATTTTTCCACTGGAACTTCAATTCAACTTCTATGGCATTTCCTCTGGTGGGTCCCCTATGGAAAGGACTACATGGTACAGTGTATCCAAAAACAAAAAACAAAAATGTAATGGGAAAGAACATGAAAACAAATGTAAGGAACCTGGTTTCACTCCATGTGGATTAACTGTGTGACCTTAAGAGGTCATTTAACTTCTCTGGGCTTAAAGTGACTTCTCTGTAAAATGGTCACTAACAAGAGGGGCTTGGCTGGAAGTGATGTCCAGTAAAACCCCACCGACCTGTGACTGCCCATTGGCTGTTATGACCCAAGGCACACCACAGACTAATGGTTGATTCTGTGCTGCAAAGCAAGAGCCCAGGTTTTTCCTAAAAACAGAAATGTAACACAATGCAGTGCTGGCATTTCTTCCAGTGCTTCTTTGCCCCTGTTCTGTGTGGACGTCCTCTCACCAGCCTTCCTCTTCCCCCGCAGTCTTTGGAGTTCCAAACAACATGGCCTCCAGCTCCCCAGCTCTGCAGCCTGGAATCAGCACCAGCTCCTCAGGTCGGTGCTTTGCCAGCTTGAAACAAACAGGGATGCTCTTGCCTACTGAGGACAATGGAATGGTTTGTAGGGAGGATGTTCTTCCTGACCGAGAGCATGAGGATCGCCCATGGCAATGTGGAACCAGCAGCCAAGGAGCTGCGTTAGAAGGCACACAGCCTGCCCTCCATAGGAGACATGGCTCAGTCCGGGAGGGAAAGGGCTAAGGGGGAGGGCGCCGGAGACCACACTTACGTGCTTAGTCTGCTCTGGTCCCCTTACTTAATGGGAGAGGTGGAGAGATGGAAATGAAGGGGCCCAGTGAGGCAGAGCTCAGAACGTTTTCAGGTGGAAAGCATTGTTAATTTAGAAAGAGCTTAACTTCACATCTTTTATAAATATCGCAGCTCCTTGGGGGCTCAGTAATGTTACTGCTTAACGTCCAAGGCAAACAAGGATCATTTTAAAGCAGTGTGTGTTCACTCTAGTTCCACATACATCGTGATAGCCTATCCGTAAATAAGTGATCCGCCCACATCTTTTGTTAAAGCAATCTGCCTCCTCTCTGTGATATCATGACTAATAAATACGGTGATGTGGGCCTCCCTTATTTCCTTGGCTGGTATTCTTGGCTTCTGATTTTAACACCTCCAATTGACTAGAGTCCCACAAGCCCAGAAGACACCAGGTTCATGCTTTGTTCCTCCTGCCTTTGCTATTCAGTCAATACTTTGCAAAGTCCTGACTGAGGAGGGCAGGCTGATGCTGGATCCATGATCTCATGCCCCAAACTCTAGACAGGATGGAATAAGAGAAGCTGTTACCTGGGGAGGAATGAGCTTCTGCACATTGTTAAAAACAAACAAATAACCAGCCTTTGAAATCGTAATGGGGATGAGGGGAGTTTTGTGTGTTTGAGCCAAGAAAAGAAAGGAGGAAAACTAGGGTCCTGCCCAGTCAGTGCTTCTTAGCCTCCACTGTGTCTGTATCCACAGTTCCCACACTGTACACCACAGCACCCAAGGGTCCTGCAGGGAAGGGAACCCCTGGGATATTTAAAATTTTTGAGGCATACAGCAACAGACCCTATGCGAACTACCGCTATTAAATTGTGTGAACCTAACTACTCAATAAATGGAGCTTAGTAACTTTTGCCTGGGGTAGGGAGGTGGGGTATTAAAAAAATTGCCATGTCAGTGAGAGTGTGGGAACTGATAATGCCCGGGATCTCTGTCATATGCAAAGGCATTACTTGTGAAAATGGTTTGGGGAGCTCCTGGGACTGGCTGCCTTAACCTGGGGGGGCCTCATCTATGTACCTGCACTCACCTGTCCTCAATTCCTCTCACAGTGTTTGGCATGCAGAACAATCTGGCCCCCAGTTCACCCGCCCTGTCCCATGGCATGGCCACCACCTCCACAGGTCCGTAACTGGGGTTTGGAGCCTAGGGACTGGGAAATAACGCCTCTTTGCAGCTATAACTCACAATAGCCCTTTTCAACAAGGGAATTAGAGGGGCAAAAATGTCCCTAAAAATCAATCGACCTTTCCCACCAAAGAAACAACCCTCCACACCTCGACCCAGAGATGCCAACCTGAATCATGTGCTGGCTCAGACATGAGTGGGAGCCTGTGCTGGGAGTGTCTCCTATATATCCCCATGTCTCACTGCTGTCCTTGACAGCCCACTGTCACTGCAAATCAATCATCTGGCTGACTTTATAGTGCACCCGGGAGCGGGG